CATAGACTGAATTTTTAAAAAAATATAGCGGAACGGTTCTCTCATCATTAAAATGGGCTTTTGATCTTAATAGAAATATCTTTTTTATATTATAGGATTATAGTTTAATAAATTAATGTTCAGTAGATCAGCAGTTTACAATTGATTGATTACTGGGTGGTGATCAATGTCATATATGTCAGGTCCTTCTTAGTGCAGATCGAATCCTATCGACCGAGTTACAATGTGGCTACTAGATTAGCAGTTTAACATTCATCAAAGTATCTAAGAAAAAATTGTTTGTTGGAACATCGATTATTTTTCATATTCAAGAAAAATAGGTTATTATACAATCAGTATTTTAGTTGTTATATAGATTTTCGCTAGTTGGTATCGAGTTTCTCAAAACATAATAAACTTGTTGAATCACAATTGATTGATCACTGGGTGGCGATCAATGTCATGCGTGTCTAGTCCTTATTAGTGCAGATCGAATGCTGTCGACCATGTTGCAATGTGGCCACCAGCCTAGGTGACTCGACACTGCGTGCACTATTGTGAGGTTAGATGGTGGTTGGAGCTGGGTGACACGAGACCGAATCCTCCAGGGAGCAACAGTTCCCTCAAGATTACAGGTACACCTTGCTGACGAGTGCCAAGTAGCACGAAACCCGGGTCCAGAGTTTCCTGTCGACTACCACCATCTAAACTTGTTGAATGCTAAACATAGTTTAGACTGAAATAATTCTAAGAAATCTGTTTCAACAAACTGACAGTGGATGAGACGAAACATTTTATATTCAATATTGAATTAAGAAAACCTATGAAATGAGAAGGAATCAGTGATTTCAGAGAAAATATCTCCTACTGCATAAATAAATTAATAAGCCTATTAAAACTATAAAGTACATACTTGAAATGGTTTCCTTAACCACGTGGACAGTCAAAAGTTTACTTTCAAGCTATTTTGAGACAATACATAGTTAAATTAATGTTATGTAATACAATTCGAATTTTGATAATCTAAGCTGGATTGTTGTCTTCTGTATTTCATTAAGGTTAGTGAGTAAACAATATATATGAAAAATATGAATAAAAGGTTTAATGATAAAACAGTTTAAATTTACTCATAACATGCAATTATAATTTCTTCAGTCCCGTGGAAATTTACGCCGTGGATACTGGGTTGCTTCTATATGTAACATAAAATCGAATAAAAAATATATGGTATCTGGTTTCACGTCTATTCAATATAGCTGTGAACATGATCTTCAAATATACATGTCTACCTCATGTTAATTTTATATTCTGGCTATTTTACTACTTATGTTTTAAAGTGTTTATAATTCTAAACGTCTTTACTTAGCATCTAGGCTATAGTCTACTTTAACATTGTATGGAACAGATTGTAAATCATACTAATAATGTCCGATAAGTCAAAAACATTATTTCTGGTTTAAAATTTTACGGCGCAAAACGTATAAAAATATGATAAATTGAAAAAACGTTTTAATTGAGATCATGAACCGATTGATGTTATACCACCATTGAAAACCTGGAAGCACTGGACAGCCGTTTCGTCCTATTGTAGGATTCCTTAGCAGGATCTGATCCCAGGGCCTTCAGTCTCGCGCGCTAACGTGAACAATGAAAGATGGTTGCGCAATATCGTGGACTGATTGAAGTTAGACATTAACACCGTTGGATGCCGGCCCAGTGGTCTAGACGTTAAGCATTCACGTGCCAGATTGAAGGCCCTGGGTTTGAATCCTGCGAGCGGGATCGTGGATGCTTCTAGGTGCTTCTAGGTTTTCAATGGTGGTCAAACATCAATCGGTTCATGATCCCAATCAAAAACCTGATAATCTTTACAACTCTATACTGATAAAATGTTTCAAGTTTTCCATATTGTTCAGTTAATTGGATTATCCAAAAATGTTATTATAATTTAACGAGTTCATTAAAAATGAGGTGAATAATCTCATCAAAAAAGAAACATATGTCAACACAATTATCCCACTAACTAATGGAAAATGAAGTACAGAACAAAAAATACATCCATTTAATACCATTTCTTTACTGACATACTGAAATATAGTCCATTTCTTCTTAAGGAATATTTTGTTTGTGACTGAATTTTCAAACCAACAATAAAACCATTGCAACATGTTGTAGAATACAGTGAGAATTTATTCAATAGTATTGTAAACCTAAGTAGATGTTTACATATATATTTGAGTTCTGCAATATTTTACTTACAATTAAAGAATAAAATATTGTTGGTTGATATGAAATTATTTATTCTTACAGATAAAGTGTGTGCATAGAAAACTGAAAGTCTTGTATTGTTCTATATCATATAGTCTCTTAGTTAATACAAACTTCTTCTGAATACGTTTACGGAAGAAGTTGTCATTACTCAATAAATTAGTGGGTTTCACTTGTTAATAATATGATTTAAAAGTCGATATTCAATGGACACGTTTTTCAGTAGAAACGAATCATTATAATATATCTCAAAACTGAGACCAGATAGACACATATCCTTTTATATAATACGGATAGAATAGATCTATCCTAGTTAGGTAGTCGAAGACTAATCAACCACCAGTAGTTTTAACATATTCACATTGACATCACCTGGTAATAAACAAATAGTTTAATGGTAACTTCTCTAAATTAATTAGCTTATGAATCGTCTTCGAATCTGAGGTCTAGCATAGGTTTCGTAACGACTTCAGGTACGCATTGTTAAAAAGAGTGAACTAAGAGGGGACTTATTTATAGGACCTCTTGTCAATCAACTAACCATGATGATTATTACTGCATTTACTGATACAAACTTAATTTATATGGAAACAGAAAATTTTAATCAGTATGGTAGACGGGCTGATAAAATTGGTTATAAGTTACAAAAAAGGCAGCTTTAAAGTATCTGTGATGATAATAGGAATTTCAAAAATAGTTCAATATGACGTTAGAATCCGAAAAGTGCATAACAACCTACTTGATGATGACAAAAAACTTGCATGTTTCTGAATTGTTGAAAACAAAAACAATGCTGATATTAATCATGATGAAATCATCATGAAAATGCAACTACACTGAACAACATAAATGGTAACATGTAAAGTGTTGACAAAGATTGCTAATCTTTTCAAAGAGTATGTGTAGAAAAAAGAAAGTGTTTTGAAGGATAATACGGGTAAAATGTTGTTATCAAGACAGCCTTAAGTAACCTACATTACTTGTTTTCCGTATAAACGCGGGGTTTTAGACTCACAGTTGAAGCTATGTCAACAAAACATACTATTCACCACATTTTGTAAACAAACAAAGCTTCTACATTCTTTACCGCTTATGAAGGAAACTTGTGTATTTTTTCTATTTCTACTTATATGCTTCACTCAGAATAGTAGAAGAATTTCTTCATTGATTAACTGCACGTTTTTTTCTTTAAAGAACATTAAAATCTATCTTGGCAGTCTAATCATTTGACTTTTCTGAAGTTTCTGTATTGTTATCACCGAAAAATGAGTTAAGTCTAGACCAGATTTCAATATTTATTAACATAGAAAAAAGTATTTTTGTCGTGACACATAAGCATTAACTGGAATTTTAATAATGGATGTTATTGAGCTTCATAGTTAGTCTATTTTTTTATGACTGAATTTACAGTGAATCACTAGTGAACAACATAAATTTACCAGTTGTGAAAGTGTATTTAAATTCTGTTCACATAATAGAAACCCGCCAAAATGTGAAAAGTATGATTTTATATTTTAACTACATCGTTCATATAGTTGGTTATTTACGCGTGCTATAAAAGTGACGGGTAAAAATCGACTCAAATATCATTAGAAGACTGTCGTTGTTACGATTTATCTGTTAATAAAAATAGAGACTAAGTTTTTAAGTTTCGCGAAAACCAATGTCGAAGTGAGCTCATTTAATTTCAATCAAAGAGAAATATTATTATGAAAATGAGCATTGAGCCTGATCACTGTTCTCGATCTACAGAGAATGTACAAATTTCTAAATATTTTGAATATCTACGACAAATATACTTAGTTGTTAAGGTATATTTCCAGAAACTGTTTACAGTTTGATAATAACTCATATCATATCATATGATGTCGAACAAAGAAATATTGAAAACCAAAGAGCATTCAATGGATGTTCGATCTAATTTCAACATCTTCAGTCATTGAGAAATAATTAGTCTCAAAGTGTATAAGATGCCTATCTAAATTATGATTATGTAACCACTAGCAACTATATTTAGATAGCTTTAACGTAATTTTGAATAAAAGCCATGAACTGTAAAAGTACTGTTATTGAAAGTATGATTATAATTCAGTTGTAACAATAAATGTAAGCCTCAATTTATCATGAATTGATTTTAGTTAAAATATATAGAACATTTCATTTGAATACTACAGTTCGACGATATTGTACACACTATACAATATCTCAAGATTTTGAGTTCAGTTAACTTGAATTTATCATAAGTATCGTTGAGTAGTTTCAATCAATAAGAAAATAGCTCTAAGATGATTCCTAAGTTTTCAATTATCTCCAACTGGTATTAATTAGTGATAAAAAGTTACATTTTGGTGAAGTTTTGTTCTTTCAGCTGGACCAAACCATCCAGCTCAGAGAACAAAACTCCACCAAAATCATCCACCTGAGCTACAAATCTTCTCCACCATCTCAAAAAGTTACTTTCAAACTTAATTAATGTTCAGTTTTGTTTACTTTACTGAAGCTACTTTTATTGTATTCAATAAAGAAGAAGAACAATTATTTCAAAAGATAAAATATAAAACAAAGACATCATTTTATTTTAGGATATGAAACACACAAATACTGAATTTCATCAAAATTGTATTGATATAATCTATTATTATAATTCATTTAGTAAAGATAAGTATGTAAGTACTATTTAAAACTGAGTATAAAAACTAATATTATAGTATACGAGTCTATCCAATTCACAAGATGTAATGAAATGATCAAATTTATTTATATTTTCTTTTTAATTGATTAAATGAAGGATTTGAACTTGATAACTCGTAATTGAATAAAGATTCAGATTCATCTGGAGAAGGGCTTGATGTTCTACCAGTGTTTGAAGTTTTTGACTTATATGTAATGGAATGACGCTGATGATAATAACTATTGATAATGTTACAATATTGGCGAGCCTTAACTCCCATAACACATGTTAAAAAGTCTATAAAGAAGTCGTGAGATGTTGGATCTTTTATTTTGTACAACTCATAACGACATATTTTGTCAATACATGAATCGATGCATAATACAAAACAGCCAGAGGTTGATTTGCTTGGTGAGGTGAAAATATATTTCACTTCAGAATAAATGATACATGGTTTTGGGTAAGTAATTAGTCTGCGATTCTTGTTATGCAGAACAAATCTATCTGGAAGAACAAATGCTTTATATTTGACTGGTTTTGTTTTATGATACTTTTCGATAAATGAAATTGCATTGGATTCCGTGAAAATTTCATAAGGCGGTAACAAAACAGAATTAAGTAGTGAAATGTCAATTTCATGTAAATATTCTGCTTTTTTACGTTCTGACGAATAATTGTGTCTACGAAGTTGATTGGTTAACATTAATGAGTTCTGTTTACTGTGAGTCATGTGATGCTACTTGTATTATAAAAGGCTTGAACATACATAATCTGGATCTCTTTGGAATTCCAAAATCAACTGATCACTGAGGAATTTTGATATGTATGTATTTTGTATTTGTAATTCAAAAGATTAAATATGATTTGATGAATTGTCGAAAACACTCAAAATTATCACAAATTAAAATAGCAACAATGTAAAGAACAGATACACTTGTATATATGCGTGAATATGTTAAAGCTTATGGGTGTAGGTGTATGTGCTAAACCTTTTATTCGCCCAATAGAAATTACGATGTTTTGTAGCTTTATGTATGACGCATATTTGAATCGATCACTGATTAGAATTGGAACGTAATTGATATTGAAATGTAATATCCTACACAGTTTGTCAAAGTCATTAACAAATGGTTATTAGTATCCTTTTGGATATGATATATATTAATGAAGTCGAGTAATTTTAACTTTAGGCCGACAAATTATACGAGAACTCAGTAGATTATCCAAACTTTTAGGATATTATGAAAAATAGATTTCAGAGGTGAAATATATTTGTATTTGAATTTAAACGGTAAATGCTGGTGAATAATCCTTACATACAATGGGAATTCATAGATTCAAAGTTGTTACGAAGAATGTATTTTTTTATCGGGATAGGGGTTTGTGGAGATTGTAGTAATTTCTAATGACTGAATTCATGAGTCGATCAAAGTTAGACCATTATGGAAGCATTGAACGGCCGTTTCGTTCTAGTATGGAACTAATCAGCAGTGCGCATACACGATCTAGCACTCGGGATTCGAACCCAGGGCTTTCGGCCTCACACACGAACGCATAGCCTCTAGACCACTGTGCCGGTATCCAACGGTGTTAATGTCTATTTTCAACCAATCCTCGATATCGCGCGACCGTCCACAACTGTCTTCAGTGAGTAACTGCCTCACAACAGACACGGTTGTTAAATCTACTTAGCAGTAACTAAAACTGTCTTTTAGAACTACCATACAATTAAGAATAACAAACAAAGTAGAATAAGACGAATTTATTTATCTTCTGCATTCTTATCAGTTCCTTGAAGCCTAGAAACAATAATGATAACTATTATGTTTGACCAATGTGACATACGTTTTGTCATACTAAAGAAAATTAGCAGGATATCGATAACAGTTATGAACGAGTTATAAAACGGTAAAGTGGATGAATATTGATGTGTTACTGAATGTGAAGGTTCTAGAAAATAAATTTTATAGCACATGGAGACAAGTTACTGGGGAATGAAAATTTTTGTCGAAGTTATGTAGTGACAAACAAAATTTGATAAATTAAAAGAGCAAGACGAGTAAAGCTGAAGAATAATAAAAGAAAGAAGTTTGCTATTGACAACGGTAAATAGGATGTTCATTAACTAAACAATGAAACGTAGAGGTTCAGTTACTTACTTACTTACTTACTTACTTACTTACTTACGCCTGTCACCCCCCAATGGAGCATAGGCCGCCGACCAGCGTTTTCCAACCCACTCTGCCCTGGGCCCTCCTTTCCACTTCTATTCAATTTTTGTTCATTTTTCTCATGTCTATCTCCATTTCTCGACGTAATGTGTTATTTGGTTTTCCTCTTCTCCTTTGATATTGAGGATTCCATGTGAGGGCTTGTCTTGTGACGCAGTTGGATGCGTTCCTCAATGTGTGTCCTGTCCACTTCCAGCGCTTCTTCCTGATTTCTTCCTCTGCTGGGATCTGGTTTGTTCTCTCCCACAGTAGGTTGTTGCTGATAGTGTCTGGCCAACAGATCCGAAGTATTTTGCGTAGACAATTATTAATAAACACATGTATGCTCTGGATGACTGCCTTCGTAATTCTCCAAGTTTCCACCACATACAGCAGAATTGTTTTGACATTTGTATTGAGAATTCTGACTTCGGTGTTGGTCTTAAAAATTTGCTTTCAATACCAGATCCTTTTTTTTAACTTGACTCATCTTATTTTGTTAATTTGTACAATTTCACGGTTGTTATTACGTAACACTGACATCAGTTTTCATTGAGATAGTGGAGAAGATTTGTAGCTCAGGTGGATGATTTTGATGGAGTTTTGTTCTCTGAGCTGGATGGTTTGGTCGTGGAGCTTTCATCGTTCTTCTGAACGACATCATCAGCACAAACTTCAGATAGAAGTGAAGTGTTCGAATTTCTCCATATGTGTTTCACAGCTTGTTCTGTGCACCTCGATGTTGATTGGTTCTTGTTGACCTTAAAGTTATCATTGTTTACTCCTTTGTTTTGGTTGTCTCCAATTGGTTTGGTTTTTGTTCCTATTATTTGTGACAACCAACAACCAACTAGCATTCTTGGATATATTGATCACTAGAACTGATACAGGAAAACTGGAAACTCAAGTATATAGGAAACCAACCCATACAGATCAAATTCTCAACTACAACAGCAACAACCCAAGGGCTCACAAAGTCAACTGCGTACAAACATTGTTCAAGAGGGCGAGGACACACTGCAGCACACTGGCAGCACGAAGAAATGAAGAGAAATACCTGAAGGACATATTTCAAAAGAACGGCTACCCAATCAACTTCATCAAAAAGCACCAACGGCACACAGCATCACAACCCAAGTCAAGCACAAAAATCAGTAAAAGGATCACCCTACCGTACATACAAAGAATATCAGAAACTGCAACGAGACTGCTGAAAACCTTCGGGATAGGTGTGGCACACAAACCAACAAAATCACTACAATCAATCTTATGCAAACCAAAAGATGAAATAACAAAGGAGAACAAATCAAACATTATCTACAAAATAAATTGTACCAACTGCGACAAACACTACATCGGACAAAGCGGACGTCCCCTCCACCTACGCCTACATGAACATCAATTAGCAGTCAAACGCCATGATATCTCTTCACTTATTTCAATACACGTGGATAACTACGGACACTCATTCGATTGGGAAAATGTAGAAATCTTAGACAGAGGAAACTCCAAAAACACCAGAGAATTTCTAGAAGCCTGGCACTCAGGTCAATTAGCAATCAACAAACATATTGAAATCAATCCAATTTATCAACCAATCAGGAAAACCATGCATAAATATGGGAACAAAAATCAAACCAATTGGAGACAACCAAAACAAAGAAGTAAACAATGATAAATTTAAGGTCAACAAGAACCAATCAACATCGAGGTGCACAGAACAAGCTGTGAAACACATCTGGAGAAATTCAAATACTTCACTTCTATCTGAAGTTTGTGCTGATGATGTCGTTCAGAAGAACGATGAAAGCTCCACGACCAAACCATCCAGCTCAGAGAACAAAACTCCATCAAAATCAGTTTTCATTTTCTAAACATTTGTCCCAATGTGTCATCTTATTGTTCTACGTTTATTGTTCATTTTTTAAAATCATGGTGAAGAACGTCTAATTCATAACTCAATTTAGTGGTGTTTGAGCTAAAAACGTTTGCTTTGAATTTCAGTCAGTTATTCAGTAGCAATAAATGTTAATAAATTGCTTCAATCATTCCAGTATATTACAAGGCAAAATCTAGTTTGATAATATCATTTCAAAAAATTCTAATTCATCAACATTATGGCCATTGAGAAAGCGTTCAACAGTTTTACAGTGCCACAATATGTTTGTTTTGATGTCCCATTTAATATCACAAATAAACATAATCCCATAATACCTAGGTGAGGTTCAAGGGATTATTTCGAACAATGATTGGAGACTTTGGTTAACATGATTTTATAATCGGTCATAATAGTTCAGATACATCTGTTCTTTACCCTTCTCTAGTTCTCGCATTTCAGTACTCTTTCATAAATACAGTTCAATTCTGTCTTCTCAAATTACATGTTTAATGTTTACTCTTTATCACTATTATGACTTACTTGTTTACTTACGCCTGTTACTCCTCGTGAAGGAACATAGGCCGCTCACCAGCATTCTCCATCCAACCCTGTCCTGGGCAATCCTTTCCAGTTCCTTCCAGTTGTTACTCATCCTCTCCATATCTGCTTTTATTTCCCGACGTAATGTGTTCTTTAGCCTTCCTCCTTACCGCCTCCCTTCAGGATTCTAAGTTAGGGCTTGTCTCGTGATGCAGTCTGGTGATTTCCGTAATGTATGTCCTATCCATTCCCATCGTCTTTTCCTAATTTCCCTCTCACATGGAAGCTAGTTTGTTCTCTCCCACAGCAGGCTGTTGCTGATGGTATCCGCTCAATGGATGTTGAGTATCTTGTGAAAACAACTGTTTATAAACACTTGTGCCTTCTTGATGATGGTTGTAGTAGTTCTCCAAGTTTCAGCTCCGTACAGTAGAACTGCCTTGACATTCGTATTGAAGATTCTCGCTTTGATATTGCTTGACAAACAGTTGTTTTGAGTTTCTTATGTTCTTCAACTATAGGAATGCTGTCCTTGCTTTACCAATCCTCGCCTTTACGTCTGCATCTGAACCTCTTGTTCATCGATGATGCTTCCCAGGTATGTGAAGGATTCTACATCTTCCAGAGTTTTGCCATCAAGAGTGATTGGATTGTTGTTTTCCGCTTTGAATTTGAGAACCTTGGTTTGCCCCTTGTGTATACTGAGGCCTACTGATGCAGAGACTGCTGTTGCACTGATTGTCTTTATCTGCATTTGTTCATGTGTATGTGATAGGAGGGCTGGGCCATCTGCAAAGTCCAAATCTTCTAATTAATTCCGAGCAGTCCATTTTATTCCATGTTTTCCCTCAGATGTCGAGGTCTTCATAATCCAGTCGACCACCAGAAGAAAGAAGAAGGGAGAGAGTAGACAGCCTTGTCTGTTTCCGGTCCTTACTTGGAATGCGTCTATCAGCTGTACTCCATGTACGACCTTGCACTGTAGTCCGTTGTATGAGTGCCGGATAATGTTAACAATCTTCTCAGGAACTCCGTAGTGTCGAAGAGGTTTCCATAATGTTCTTCTATCTACAATGTCTAATGCCTTTTCATAATCAATGA